CTTTCAATTTTATTTTAAAATATTATTTAATATTCCTATAAATTTTTCTAGATTTTAAAATTTTTTGTATGACTCTACATTAGCTTCATTGATTTAAAATCATTTGAGATCATTTCTTTATAATATAAAATTATGAATTCATGAAATCTTACTATCTTGTGGATGTTTTTTTCACAATTTTTTTATAAATTTAACATTGTAAAACCTTTAAAATATACATCATTGAATAAAATGCTAAGATGAACAAATTGCTTTTTTAATTCTTATCCTATTTATTATTCATGAAAGTTTATTACATTATATATATATATATATATATCTCATAACAATCAATACAAAAGAATCTCATGTGCTTATTTAGTAAATGTAATTTTTCATTTTTTGACCAGTTGAAATTTTTTGTAATATTTTGAATCTTAATGACATTCATACACTATATAAGTTTTATAAGAATCCATTGTCGGTGACGGTGGATTTAGAGTATTAGATCAATTGGCTTTAATGTTTCAGTTGAACGGGTTGTGTTTCTATTGTACTACTTAGTGTTGAGAGTCTGTTTGTCGTGCTCAACATTATTTGTATGATTTCATGGACGTAGCCAGAGGAGCCAATCACATTATTTTGTGTGTTTTCTCTCTTGTGGATTTTGAGTGTGTCGTATGCAATTTTGGAGCACATTCTGCACGTCATGTTAACGTTGGTACTTAATATAAACAATTCACATAAAAACATTTTTTGTACATTAGATTTGATATGTAAATGTATAATGTGTAATATCTGATGAGGCAATCAAATTTGGGTATGGATTTGATGCTTGTCATTAGCAAATAATAATTCTTTATTATTTTTTATATTTTATTGCTTGCAAATATTTTATCTATATTCAAAATTATTGAAATTATACAAAATTATGAATGTAGATTTTACATAATTTTGAAAATGGTTTGTAAAAGTTTATTATACTACTATTACTTCTTATATTTTAATTGCTTGTCAATATTATCACATAAACAATAATTTATTCATTTAAAAAAAAAATTTGATCATATGTTGAATATCATATTTATGTGTAAATTATCAATTGATGTTGATTGTTTGCTATTGATGTACAAGTGTTGATTATTTGAATGTCTCAAAAGATGAGAATTCCTAAATCAAACATTACAACGTCATCAAACATCAAACATTTACCTTTAAATCAAATAAAATTTTTCAAGAATAACTATCTAGATAATTCTCATATTCTAAATATCTTCAGTTGAGAACTATCATCAAAGAAATGAAATGTTTTTTCTCATTCATTAAACATGAGTTTGTTATTGCTCTTTTAAATGTACAATACTCCTTTTGTTGGGAGTTATCTCCAAGTTCTGCGGAGATTAAAATGAAATCTGACTTTTTTAATCGTTTTCAATGAAATTAATATTGCCGTTGTTGCAGCTAAAACTTGACATTTGTGGTTGATGTTGACACAATTACTTTTTACTCCAATATCATTGTTCTATTTCTCATCATTGTCATTAAATATGGTAATTTGTTCATTTAATCTACCATAAAATTCAATCTACTGTTTTTTTAAAAATTAAAGTTGATGTAATGAACTATTTTTTAACCACCTAACTATCAACATCCAACGCATGGACATCAAGTAACAACTCTTTGAAGCAATATAATCAATAATTTTTAAAAGATATGATCATAATGATTCACACAACTTTGACTAAAACCCACCTTCATTTTTTCCATCGACATTTTGTTTCATTTCCTTACTAATACTAGATATATAAATTCAATCTAAACTCTAGAAGAATGAAGAATGAATAAGAGGCATTTAGAGTTTTAATATGTTGTTCAAGCAAAGGTATACCGCATGTTAGCATCCCATATTGCAACCTCTTTTAATCAATATTGTCACACCTCTTATTTGAGGGTGACAACGGGTATCAACTCTTCTCAATTTTTATGGGATTGACTTCAAATGCGCCATTGCAATAAAGTGCAAAATCACGTTACAAATATTTGTTGCCATAGAATATTTTGCAAAAACAAAGGTTTATCAAATTGTTGCATAAAAGGAACTAAAAAATAATTCGTATTGCCAGTCATAAACTATAAGTTTTATTACACCATAACATTGTGGTGTTTAGTGTTCTTGCAATATAAAAGAATTTGATAATGTGAAGTGATGTGATATTATATGCTCATGTTGTTTGTAAGTTATTTGATATGGATTATGTGAATATGTATCATACTAAATGCTAAATAATTTTCATTACAGTATTATCAAGCCTGAAACACAATTGAGTGGACACGTAGATTTATACGGTGCCTAGGTGGCATGAAAGAAATTCCAATAGCTTTAAAAGTAATAGGACATTGCACTCGCGGAGGTTACAGTGAGCCACCTACAACTCTTTAATGGAAAAGAATCCAGTTGTTGCACAAGATTGAAATGTTCTCTTTCCTCTAAGTCATGAGCAGCAGATGTGGTCCGCTTCCTGAAATCATAGACGCGGCGATCAAGCAACGGATGGAAATTGTCAACAATGATGTACATCGTCACGATGGTACGCTCTACGCTGTAAACTATCGTACGCAGCAACTAACAATAAACTGGGAAAAACAGGCCCATCATCTCGCAAGTGATTGCACTATTTGAGTACTGTTGGATCAATAATTGCACGAAGAATCAGTTCAGATCGGACGGAAAACAAAATCCAAATGTAGGCTTCTGTACAGTACTGACAAGCTCTAGGACAAGCCGAGTCTAAAACCCTTGAGCTGCCTTCACAGTTACCAATTTCTGACTATTAACAAGGGGGAGAAATTTCTCATGGCACTTATGCCGAACGTCGAGCACACCTCGTTCATAAGGTTTAGAAAAGTGTTTGTTCACGCTCTTTCGAAATGGACTCGACATCATCGAGACTTCCGGCTGGATTGGGAAGTCAATGGGATAAATACTAGGAATTTGGGAGGACGACAGCAGAGTCCCGGCAGAGTTTCTAGTATACAGCAGGGATGCCGTTTTTTTAGCTCACTTTGTGGTCGAAGACATTCGACTCGCGAGTTGCTGCTGGAGTCAGTCGCTTAACGGACGACGATGACGACGAGCAAGACCTTGGTAAATGCATGTTTCATGTCCAACCTGTCGGTACTCTGACAAAGTTCGTAACGCAAGAGTAATCATAATAGCGGATTGACACGCTTTGGTTCTTGATTTGATGTACGGTACAGCTTTCTCCCTTCCCACAGCGGTCGTCAGGAGTGACTTGGTCGCGTTCTTTCTGTAAATGCGAGGTTCGTCTCCGGCTCCAGCTACTGCTACTGCAGTACACACTTCTTTTCTTCGGTGTCAAGTACACTGTACAATAGAACGACAAATGATCTTTTCGTGTCGCGGTTTTCGCTCTATCTCTGTGGAGCTGAAGGAGCTGACAACGTCCGACAATTGCGTACCCAGTTCCTTGAATCGATTGAAACATCGATGCTTTCGTCCAATTCGTTTATCGATCTGATCACTAGCTAGGTCATCAGTTGGAAGCAGTCTTTCGTCAACTTCATCAGCTAACAACGGCGTGTCACATCTGAATCTTCAATCGGATCATTCTTCTTTTCGGCCCATTTAGGAAATACCACATCTGGCGTGATGCGTGCAATTAAATTCATCAGATTATACACCTCAGTGAACCGACACTCGTAGACTTCAGACGAAGTCTACTTTGACCTCACGAAATTTACATGAAATTTGAGATAGAGGAAAGGTCTCACCTGTGGTTGGCCTCTACTGGTGTCTTTTACTACTGTGCACATCTTTCGGAGTACTAGATGGAGGGGATCGACATCAATCTCTGCTGGAGAGGAACAGACAACATGCTGTATCAGGTCTTTAATGCTTGGACTGGGGGTATGGCTCATGCTGTATCAGGTCTTTAATGCTTGGACTGGGGGTATGGCTCATTATGGCGGACTGAGTGCAGATGCGAGGAATGGTGCAGTTGGGAATTGCAGGCAAACAATTGTCTTCACAGTGATGGCGAACGTTTGCGGCCTGACTGACGACGGGAAACTGACTCGTTTCAACATCGCCGTGGCGGCTGGGGCCCAGACGGAGTAGTTCTCGCATCTGTATCAGCAGACATTCATTAATGGTCTGGCATCACTCGAGTGAATGAAAGACCGACAGAAAGACTTGTTTCTTCGCGTACACACATGCCGTACGAAATTCTCAACCGCTCCGTTTGATCTCCTTCTGATTCCCAGTCCGCAGGGTCGTGCATGGGAAGCGTCCTCTCTCTCCCGACCCGCACTACCTCCTCCTTCACCTCTGCGTGCGAAACGAAACATGAGCAACCAGCAGCATTGTAAATCGTGGCCCCACACCCTCTCGAACCCCTCGAAGCTGGCTGCTTGTTTGGTAACTGGCTCAGGCTCCGGGTGAGACCGTTGGCCGACAATCGTCATCGGTCACTCCTATTCTCGAACATGGGAGGGTTTATTGCAGTATTTCCTCAGCGGATACTTTCGATCTCCAGCACTCCTCAACTGCTTATCCACATGCGTTGTTTTCGAAGAATGCCGCTATTGACAAGTAAAATGTGTCCGGTGTAACATCGACGATTCAATTGCATCACTTTCAAAGTCAGCTAACGAACATTTTACTTTAAATTCGTCATTCACGACACTATAACTCAGCTTACAATTCGACGAGCTGGCTGTGATGTCATAGTCGTCGAGAATCCAAATCGACGTTCATGGACAAGATTTGTTTCATACATATCGTCATATGGTCAGACAGTAGCCGGTCCCAACAAGAGCACAGCTCCCAAACAATCGAGCAGCTCGTTCATACATGCACATTCCATATGGACAACTCCGGAAGGACAAGACAGCACGGGTCTGATCTCGAAGCTCGATCGATGGACAGACTTGGTTGGGGAAACAGATCGAAGGAGAAAGTGTGAAAGAATTGAGACGAGACGAGACGAGACAAAATGAGAGCCGGTTTGGTGATAAATGTTATGCGTAGATTGAAATTCTGGAAGTCATCAGCAAAGAATGTACAGGCTCGCTCAGCGACGGCGGAACGCAGAGCACCGGCTGCTGCCGGGGCGGGGAGGTTCCGGAGTCGGGCGAAGCGTAGCAAGTTCAGGAGCTCGAGCGATTCCTGCAAGGTCGGGTCGGGTCGGGTCACATAATCATCATCATCATCATCATGTGGACGACGTCGTCGAATCGCGCTACTACATCTTCAAAGTATAGACGCATTTGAAATCTCTGAGAGTGGTGTTGGAGATGATCAAATTGGCGGAGCAGTCGCTCGTGGAGATGGCGTGTCGCTTGAAGATGTTGATCACGTTCAGCCGCCCACGGATCCTGGAGTAAGTGGACACGGGAATGATCCCCGCCGTGACATCGCCGGTGAGATTGGCGTCATTGGGCACGTCCACCGCTTTGATCTCCAGGTACGTGGAAAACTCCGACGACTTCTTGGCCTCGACCTTGCCTGCAGGGATGGCCGCACGACCCACCTCGAGCCCGCGGTAAAACAGATACGTGCTGCTGTTCTCGTACTTGAAGCTCGCCACGTTCGGATTGCGGACTGTCACGTTGAGGTGCAGCGAGACGTCCAGCCTCCAGCTCAGGCGAATTGGGTCGAGGCTGGCCGCGAAGCTCTGCAGAGACATTCCCGTGACAGTGATCCGAGGGTCTTTGGCCTTGAAGACCGTGAAGCTGAGGATGAGGATGAGAATGACGAACGCCAGGAGCAGGGCGGTGCTTATTCCGCAGCAAATATGGCACGCCCTCCTCCGGTACAGCGGCAGCGGGACCTTCACCTCAGCGTCCTCCGAAGCCACGGACGACGACGCGTGAGGCTTGATCGACACCTTCTCCTCGTCCTTGGCGGCTCCGCCCATGGTCGTGGTCGTCGGATCTCTCTGCTACTAGTGCAGTGCTGCTGCTGGTGTAAATTTCCGGAGCAGTTTTTTTTTGTTTCGGTCCCGTTTCGGGGGCTGCCTCGATCTGACAACTCGTCGCAGATATGGTCGCTCGCCCGCAGCACCCGTCGGGCAGTCGACGATGCGAGATGGGATGCAACGACGCACGCACTCGCTCCGCTGGCCCACGCAGGCACACACTGCAATTTCGATTATGGCCTGAAGAATGAATGATTTCTGTTTCTAAGAATATTGATTGACTCGAGATTGATTGGCTCTGTCCGGCACGAAGCCCTCGATCTGCTCGGCTTCGACCAGAGCAAAAGAATGAATGAGTGCGAGGAGGAAATGAAGGAAGGGGGGGAGGGGAAATCAAAACGGTTTTTTCGCTCGGTTGCCTCGAAGCTCACTTCACTCACACGCAGGCTCTGCACACTTTTGCAAAAAGAATGAACGAAGAAAGAAAAGGAGAGGGAGAGAGCCCAGATAATGCAGATGCTGAAAGGAAAGAAATGTGGCAGAGGGATGGATGAATGAATAAACGAAAGATTTCGCGCCGCGGAACGACGACCGAACGAACACGCGCTATCCTCCGAGCTCTTCCTTCGAGCTGCTTAGATTGACCCGCCCTGCTCCCACCTCGTCACCGGAGAGCTGAAGAGCGACAACAACGACAACAAGAGGTTTGACTCGGAGCTATTTACTGTTCCACAATAGCACCAGCAGAGCACCAGCAGAGCACCGTGCCGCTCGCTCGCTCGCCCGGACGACGTGAGAACAAAAGTGGGGCAGATCTGCAGAGAAGTATAAAGCCTCGAGAGAACGCAGTATCTCGTGGGACTGACTGCACACCAGCCGCAGGCGGCATGAGCCGAGCTAGCTCAAGAGTAGAGTAGATGGAATGAGTGAGAGAGTGAGTGGCAAGAGCAGCGGAGCAGATGTAAGTCAGCAAGCAGCAGAGAGGAGAGGAGGTGTTGCGATAGATTGATAGATAGATGGATAGATGGATGGTGGTGGTGGGGATCCACGACGACCCGGGCTGTCAACGACCGTCAGACGAAGAGGTTGGACAGAGAGGGCAGAGTAGAGCAGAGCAGGGCATGGCATGGCAAGTCCGCAGGTCCAAATGTGCAACTGTACTTCGGTCGTCCGCCGCTGCCAGGTAGTAGTAGGTGTTGTCCAGAAGATCGTTGAAAAATGGAGGATCGAAATGAATCAGGTAGGTAATGTCATTGAATGATGATGAGAATACAAGGCCTCAATACGACACAGGCATTGTGGAGTGGATGGAAAAAACGAGGAAGCGCGAGAAGAAGAAGAAGCCGGGTCTGCGTCGTGGTGATGGTGGTGGTGGAAGTAAACCGCAATGGCTGGACTGTTGCGGAGTGCAGTGGAGAGAGAGAGAGAGTGTGTAAGAGAAGGGAAGGGAGAGATGGCGAATGATGATGGAGATGGAGATGGGGAATATGAGAATGGGAGCAGTAATGACACTTTTTTAGGGGGGCTCGCTCCTCCCCCCACCGGCAACGGCTCTCGACTAGCGGGGATCGGGTGCTATACGGGAAGTTCAGTACGATTTATGCGTTGGCGAGATGCAACCTTGTGCATGGACTTGCCCATCGATGGGACCCGGTGGATGGGCTTGCCGGTGAGGCACCAGTGCCAAAGGTGGCCCAGTAAATAGAAGAGCAAGCAGAGGACGATGATCATAATCATTCTGGCGGTCCTGACTAGTCGACTGCACCTGCGGCCGCAGACCCAACGAAATTAGGCGGAGGCTGTGACGGGACGACGAATGGAATGGGCTGCGGATGCCGATCGCGCCGCTGCCGAGCCTACACCAGGCCAGCTACGAGTCGGCCAATGCTGCCTACGCCCTCGCGCTATGACGCTTGTCGGAAATGCGCCTCAGACTGGCGCTGTCATAATGATCTTACAACGGTCCCTTGCCCTTTTCCTTTTCCGTGGCCAGATCAGTTTCGTCTAATTCTCCTCGCCTCTCGTCTCCTCTCCCAGGGTCGTACTTCCAGAGACCAGGCCCGCCCTCCCGTCCTCCCTCCCTCGGATGGGTCCGTCAGTCAGTCACTCTGCAGCTGCTGCTGCTGCTGAGGCTGCGGCTGGTGGCTCTGCTGCGTTTCCCGACCTCGCCTGGTGGCACTCCTGCTCTCGACGCCTCAGATCTGCCAGACTAGACCGAAGAGCGGAGCAGAGTTCCGTCCTGGGACGAGCAGCGGAGCTCTGATCTGAGAGTAGAAGGACACTGCAGTGCGCTAAGTGCAGCCAGGCGCAGAGCAGAGCAGCTTCAATTCTCTCAGATCTCCTCCACCTTGCAATTGGAGACCCGCGGGCCTAGTCTTCAATGTTTGCGATGCCTGACATTTTGCATTTGTTTAAAGCCGACGCGGGCGACGTGGGCCGACGAGAAAAGTAGGTTCCTTCGGGATATTACTATTTTACCTCCGCTCTTACATCATGTGCCGCTGGTGACATTCCCATTTTCCCCCTTGCCTTTGCCCTTGACCGGCCTCCTCCCTCTTCCTTTTCCAGATTCTCTGTCCCTCCCTTCCTCCCTCCCTCTGCCTCCCTTCCTGCCCGCCCTCCCTTCCAACATGTTGGGTTGACTCCATTAAACCTCTTCTCGACTGCGTGAATGCTTTTGTTTTCTCCAATATTGCTGTCCCGGTTTCCCTTTTTTTGGCTCTTTCGGCTCTCTTACATTTATTGGAAAGGAGCTCCGCATTTCCTCTCTGAGCACAAGTTCTTGGGAAGGTGTGACGCTGTCGATCTATGAATAAATCGACTGCGCCAACTTCTCTCTGCGATCCCTGTACTGCCCCCCATTTACTGCGAAAAGGTTTAATCCTGAACTTTCAAGGTTCCGCCATCATTTAAAGAAGGATTTTGACTTACCGAATTTTTTATGTATATGTGGACCTACATCAATAACTTATTCTCCCCGATGCTATCCACGAACTCCGAAATGTTTTGATCCGAGATTGTCTCCCGTATTTTGAGAAAGGTATCGAAGTGAACACAGAAAGCACTGACCACAAATAGTTATCGGCAAATTGTCGATGTTCTACTGTGAGCTCCCCTGGGGTCGGCATCAGGGAGGGAGACACGGACTGGGCTGGGCGACAAACCTATCTGGGTGACCGCAGTTTACAAACACAGAAGTGCGTTAGGCTTTTACAAACACGCTCATGATTTTCTTTTAAGTTCTGAATTGGGAACTTCAGGGAAATACTCAAGCATTCCATGTGACTCAGATGGTATCTCTAACCACCGACATCGTCTTAGTTGTGCCCAAAAGGCAGATGTTTTCAATTGGTTCCTCCTTTCGCTGCAACTGCATGTATGTTGCATGATGAGACGAGGAGGAATTGCTGCCTCTTCCTCAGAAAAAAATACGTTTCGAAGAGGAGTTGCTGCATTTTCCTTGAGAAAAAAATATATCGACGAGGCATTGCTGCATTAACTTTGAGAAAACAAAAGTTTAGCATTTCACCATTGCAGATTCTCAGGGTGCATTGGTACCTTTTCAGAGGTCCGATCACTTGAATAGATTATCAAATTCAGCTCAGAAATGATTAAAAAAAATTCACCACTTTTTAATTCAATTAGCAATCTATTATACGTCTTTACCAACTGGCATACCCGCAAGTCAGGGTGAAAATCATCAAACTTCAGTGACAATAGAGTCTAATGTCGTCGTGGGTCTAATAATTAGACCCACGAACTCTCTCAAATTCATTGGACTAAGAAGCTCCTAGGTTCTAGATTTGCAAACTTAAACTAACAGCCTGTAATATGGGGCAAAATTTGTTGAGTCTCTAAAAGGCTCACAATGCGGCAAAATGTAATGCTTGATTTATATGATCAATCATGAGCATACCGTCTTCTTCTGATGTCTTGTGTGCAGACCTTCTTCCATCACTATCCAGGGAGTTGCACCATTTCATCTCGTCTAGAAACGGGGAACGGGCTGAAGTCACCACCAAAAGTGCTTCAAGAGCAAGGGTCGAAACGCATGCGTCTCTATTTTGAAAGAGGAGAACTGAATATGATGATCCTATTTTCCAATGTCCTCGGAGTCTCACGATCAGCCTACATGCTGGACCTCTTTGATAAATGATACCTTCTCTTTTGATTAAGATATATATATATATATATATATGAATAGTATTATAGAAAAATTATGTTTCTAGGACTCGAGAATGAAAACTCGTGGAGTGAAAATTGTCTCCTCTCTTCTCCGGGCTTTGAGAAGTTGGGTACTCTGCTGTTGGCCAAAAATATCTGATTTCTCGAAGTAATGAGAAGTGAAAATCTGGGATGTACATCGAGAGGGAAATGATTACCCGGGTGGTAAATCCGGTACGAGGACGTGGGCGTACTCATGCGTGACTTCACTCCGGCAGTGGGGCCGACAAGACCTTTTGGACCCTTCATGGGTTTCGCACAATCCAGCTAGCTGAAGCCGAGACGAGCTTTTAGCTCCGCTACACTTGCTCCTAAAGCGACCACTTCCGACTATAGCAGGCCTCCTGTAGCTCCACTACATTGGGGGCCCTCTGCTACAATCCAGAGTGCAAATTCTCCCACCCACGAGACTTCTCGTGTGAGCAGAGACCAGTTCGTATTTCTATTTTTATATTCGTTTCCGTTCGAGGAATCTTAAAGAGCATTCAGTGCCGAATGATTTTTCCCCTCATTGTCAACGTAATGAGTGGGTTTATATTGCTGGACCATCGAACATTTGCAAATTGTATTGAAGAATGACGATGCTTGCGTCATGTCGAATACGTTTTCCCGTGGGAGTTCTTGGGGACTGCGTTGAAACTAGCCGAACGATATGCAAACGAATGAACACGACGCTCTTTCATGATTAAGAATTTCTCTGAAAACGTTATTCAGTTGTAGAGATGACGAGGATCAAACAAAAAAAAATCCCCTTCCTCCTCCTCTTCCTCCTCCTCCTCCTCTTCGGCTCCAAAGGAGTTGCTTGAGCCTCATAATCATCCGTCAATAAAAGTGGTTGCTGAGTATTCGGCAACGATGGTTGTTGGCCTCAACCATCTGAAAGTTCATTTTTCTTTCATTGTCTGGGCTCTTAGACGGATTCTCAACCACTCCGGTAGAACGCAGACAGATCCACATCACTGTCATTCACCATCCATAGCATCCTGGTCTTTGGTTCTCTCCTTCAATTGTGTAGTCCTCTAGACAGTCATCTTTCCAAGCAAATTGGAAAATAGCTCCTGCGATTGCCGTTTGCGAGTAACGAGTTTTGAAAATAAACTCAATCTCAAATGAGACTCATTGTCCGAATTATACAAGGGTACATGTCATTTATAAATGATGAGGTCTAATTATCCCAAAGTCACAGATGGAGTTGCGGTGAACGTAGCATTAGCTGCCCAGTATAGGAGTTTATATGAAGAAATAGTATGTGTTCATTTTGAGTTGGAGTTTTTGCTTTGGTTTTGACTTATCTTTGAGGGAATAAGAAACGATATCAAACTGTTTTTAAAAAACTATCTTCATAATATTTTCTATCTTAGTGTATGCAGCGTGTATTTATTTCCCTTCGGAGAATATGAATGGTGTCATCCATACCACAAAAATCATGACACATGTGGATTTTTAGGATACCCACGTTGCAAAAATACTCTACCCTATCCTCTGGTTTCAACTCTGAATGAGTTGATGAATATTTCTCAACTGATTTTTTACATTGACGCATGTTGATAAAAAAATTATTAATCCTAACACCAGGATGAAACAATCCAGCACAAAATGTTTCCACTTGTTACATAATCAATCACAGAATACTAAAGAAATGGTTGGTCATAAATTTGGAGAGTTAACATCTACAAGGAAAACCTCCTCCTTAGATTGGAAAGCTTTTTTCCTAGAAACCCAAGATGAAGCCAATAGAGAGTATGTGATATTAAATTATGTCACAAAACAATTCGAATCCAATCCGACTCCATCTGAATCGCAGTTCAGATTCATCAAATTGCAATAAAGAAAAAACATATTTGCTTCAACCAATAATATTTACTTGTGCGTATATATATGTATATAGTTTTCACTGCATGGAAGTAATACTTGTATGAAGTGGAACTAAAAATTTTGATTTAAATTTTTGTAAACAAAATGGAATTATAATTATCATCTAGTCGGCACATAATGATTTTTTTAATGAAATTAAATTATCATCAACAGTTCAATATATTTTCTTCAACCAAAAAAACGGTCATGCATGTCATTATTTGAATATCTAGTTTGTATGAATTGAAGTAGATGCTCTTGAAATGTTAAAATCAATTATAGATTTTTTATTTTCTAAATTTAAAAAAAAATCCATAACAATATATATTAATATTAGATAAATAATAAGTAGATAAATCATTATTTTTTCAAAAGAAAATGCAAATATCATATTTGACAATCTTTGAATTTATATTGATATATCCTGTATATTTTACATTCAAATGCTTCAAGTTTTTCACTTTAAACCACTAAAATTAAAGTGACTTCAAACGCTACTATATGACTTCCATATGCTTTCTTGTCATTATGGCGATACCAAACATACATGGCGATGACTTTGATACTTGTCACAACCTTTATCTCTTACACTTCCATGGCGAAGACAGACCATTCCATTATACAATAAACATTCGCTTAAATCTACATTATGATTTGAAAAATCCAATGCGGACTTAACCTAGATGCAGATTTGAGGTTCTTAGGAGCAAAAGTTGTTCGTTGATCAAACCCAAGTCTTTGACACTGTTTTATTCTGTGAAATGAGTTTATGATCCGTCAAGCCCAAAAGCGTTGACATTCGTATCAACGATTCGCAGCGAATGGAGATAATCTCATTGTTAGAAAAGCAAAATCCGCTTTCAATGCGTAATATTGCTTGTCAATTTGGAGTGGATGTGAATACATTTTAGAAGCTGAATTCCAACAAAGACAAAATTTAAAGCTAAAGTAAATCAAGCTACTCAAGAATCCACATTTTGTGCATCTCATGGGACGTTTTCTGAACTCGAATAGAGACTACTCGAGTGAATTGAAGCTTGTTGTCGTATGTAATTTGCATTGGCTTCCAATATTATTTGTTATAAGGCAAAAATTATTGTCTTCACTTTAGAAATACAAAAGGAGAAATTCAAGGCTTCTTGGAGATTGTATGCTAGGTTACGGCACCGACACAAATTGAACTCCATCAATCTTTTTGAGGAAAGCGGAGAAGTTGACAAAACGATCCTGAAATTATCAAAGCTCTTGAAGAGTTGGATTCTGTTATTGATCAGTATGACCCATCTTAAGTTTACAACATGGATGAAA